ACTGGAACGGAGACCTTGTTTTGACAGGGATCCATTGATCAGAGTAGTTGGGGAGAAGGGAGTTATTTATTTAAAAAGCTTACAAGCCACCATTTTAGCATAGAACCCTCCCGTGGCAGCTTCCAACATTATGTCAACAGCATGTAATTCTTAATAAATGTAAAATGTACAACAACAACGCCATTAGAAACAGTAACCGGCAACAACATTGTAACACTCTACCCAGTAAAAATCACAAAAGCAAAAGAAAACCACAACAATGTTACAACAGCCCAATTAGACTCCTACTTAGACATGTGGAACATAAAGGCTCGCAGTGATGGGACCTGGCTTATCATGGGGCCACTGCCAAGAAGGCCCTGTCCCTCGTGGCCACCAGCCTAATTGCTCCCATAAGGGGTGGCAGAAATAGAGCCTCGGAAGCAGATCTCACAGTACAAGCAGGTGGATGTGTGTGAAGGCAATTAAGGGATAACTCCTGGTTTCTGTCTGCAGCCACAGAAAGTGTGGGTGAGTAGTTGCTGCCAGGGGCCTGGAAGCTGGTCTTAATCACCAGCTTTGTAACCTGAACAAGCCACTTTCTTGGCTTGAACAAGCCAGGAATATAACCCAAGGATCTTGGGCAGTATCGCTTTAAAAGGGTATGCAGATAGCAGCACTTACAGTTTGGGAGACTGGGCATGCAAACATCTCCTCTGAATGAGTTACTGTAATCCTCCTTGATGCTCTAGTATTTTGCCCTGTGATAGGTAGCACATGTATTCTGAATGCAGCAGAACTGGAAACTATTTCTCTTCCTGCCTCTCACCAAATGAGACAAAGCAAAATTTTGTGAAACCAGAAGAGAGAAAGCTGAATTTCCGTACGAACTGAAATATTTTGTCATGTAGCAGCAAATAACTGGCAGAGAAAGCAGCTGCGGTCACCCAGCCAAGGACCTCATCAGGCTGAAGGTGCAAACACTTTCCCTCTGGTGCTCTCCCCTCCCCTCTTCCTCCCCCCTCTCCCCGTGAGAACACAGGAACTTTAGCAGGTGCCGGATACAGCCCAGCTCATGGTAAGGCGGAACAGGCCATCCGCTTTGGTATCCTGTCTCCAGGGGTAGTTGATGCACAGGAAATCGACCTAACTGCACTGCATTTGGTGTGCCAGGCCTCCTTTGCTCTGCAGCCCCCATATCCTGGCTTAGATACGTTTTCCTCCCCTCCTCCTCCTCCCTCTCTGTCCTTCAGCCTGTGCCTTTAGGGGGTGGAGGGAGTTCAGATTCCTGGCAGAGAGTCACACTGTGTGAGTGGGAGCCATTAGCTATGCTGCCTTTGTTCTGCTGGAGATGTGCTTGGGGCGTTATCAAAGACCCTTCTGTCTTTTCACAGGGGGAGTGTCTTGCACAGGCAATGGCGTGACAGGGCCCCTAGGTGCAATGCAGAATCGCCTGGGCTCTCTGAGGGTTTCCCACACAGCTAGAAAGCTTAAGGGAGGGGGGCAGGGGAGGAAGACTGTGGAAACATTGAAATTCACACACATCTTCAGCTGGTACAATATTGCAAACAGGGGGAAGAAAACTGAGGGTTTTAGTTTTCCAGGTGCCTTGCACTTCATTTGAGGTGGGAGGGAGAAACCATACAGAGCATATGCTAAATAACTATGTTGCATAACAAATGATATGTCAGAAGGAACCCAAAGCTGTGGGATGTTTTCACTGTCCTTTTGCTTCCACATATAAGCAGCAGCCTTATGCAGAGGCATATTGTAGCCTGTGAGCTGCTGTGAGTCAGAGCAGATTTTCAAAATACTGAGCAGACTCTTACCTCATCCCTCCTACCTGAGATCCTTATATGCATGGCAACACTTTGTTGCATGTATTACTAGGGACACTGGGAACTACAGCTGGGAAAATTCTCCATTGTTTTCAGTGGCCTCCTGGGCTGCAAAGGGAACACTGATTACTTTAAAAAAAATTAAAAAATAGCCCTCTCCAGAACACATTGTGATAAGATTAAATGGTGTATATTTCCTTCAAGTGCTTAAAAAAATATATTCCTCCATGCCAGGAGGAAATGGATTTCCAGAACACACAAGGAGGTAGACTAGAAGGCACTGCATGGAAAGCCTTGCATCATTTATAGCCAGCATGAAACGGCTTGCAACTTGTTCAGTATTCTGGCAGAACAAGGTCCACCATGTAGCACGAAGCAAGCCTGATCCTTGCCTTGGGCAAGGAAGTTCATAGCCATTCTCCCTTTATGCCTTGAAGTTGCTAACAAGGATCACTTGGGGGAATGGTTCCTAATTAAATTTATTCTGTCAAAGCCTGTGCTGTAAATATTGGGAAGTCTATCTCTGCCATAGATTAACTGATAAATCAGATGCACTAAATAGGCAACATTCTTTATTCAGCTCCCATGTGGTTAGTGAAAGTGGATTTTATGTGTTCATGTTCTACAGGACTCTCCTTATTGTTAAGTACTAGTTCAAATGCACAGGTTTTAACATATTCTTCCATATACTGGTCTTATCTCGAAACGCTTAGCACTTAAGTTACACTGATGAAGATGTTACAGAATTTTTTAAGTATCACAGGATGAAAAAGTCCACTTTAGATTTCTGCGAGGCTCAAACTTCTACAAAATGCCAATTAATTGGTATTTTGAAAACAGACGCCTATCATTTGCTTCTCTCCTGACTCAAAAAGAGGCAGAACTGCCTCCTCTCTCCAAATACACACACATTTGTTCAACGAAGAATGTGTGGCGAGTCTTGACTCCAAACTCCAGCCTTACCTCTAGAAATTATCTTGCCCTAACTTGTTTAAATACCCCCCCTCCCCATTCTCTTTTATATATCATTGCTGTGAATTAAAGACGTAACACAAAACCCCTTTGACTGAAAAGTAACATGAGCAGTTAAGGCCTTAAGGCACATGGGTGTGCCTTCTAACTCTAGTCAGACCTCCTTGGCTTTGCTGTGAGGCACACAAACTACGCTATGGAAGGGCAAAGATTATGCCCAAGATCTCAGCAGAGCTTCCCAGACTGAGCCAACATCTTTGGTTCTGTCTATACAAAATACTCCGCTGTCATAGGAAAGGAGGTCACAGCAATATACCCATCCTATCAGGCCAAGCCACTGGTGCATTTTCCACAGAGAGACAGAGCTCCTCCAGCAGAGACTGGCTTTCCAGCTGACTCACAAGACTGGGTGGAGTGGGTTTTTGTGGGAAAATTTAGGGCTGGGCTGAACTTGAGGCCTAGTTCTCATTAACATAAGTTTTCTATGCGCAGGGAAATGTTTTTATCAAGAGGCAGTGAGCTCATGCAAGTCCTGACCTGTTATTCAGATGCAGCACAGCTCACACGCAGGTTTACAACCATAGTTTAGCCTAAGGATTCTCATGTGTCCAGCAAGGCATAATCCTACTCTTTGCAGTGAAAGCAAACAAAAGTGGCTAACTGGTGTCAGTCATTCCTATTCCAGGTAACTCAGAGCACTTTGCACCAGCCGAGGAATTAAATCTTATAAAAGCACTGGGGCAGGCAATCAGCATTGTTGTAGAAGGGAAAATTACCAGGTTATGGCCTCTAAACTGGCAGCAGCTCAGATTACAAGGAGTAAATTCCTGAGCCTTGAATCACGGCAGTGTTCCTTTAACCCCTGGGGGCTCTTCCCCATTGATCTCACCCCACCTGCTTGCTCAGCTGTCTCAGGGAGCATCCACTGAAACCGGAGGGGTTCTGAAGAAAGTACTTAATAAATCCTTGGTGCATTACCCTTAGCGTTTTAACTACCGATGCTAAATCCTAGACTTTTCCCTGAAGCACACATCCCAGAGTGTGTGAATTATTTAGGAGGCACACTTACATTCTTGATTACACCCATTCTCCCAACAAATATTTCATTCCTTCAGTCATCAACCACCCCTTTGTTTCAAATGTCTTGTGGCTGTATTTGAAAATACAAAAATCACTGGTACTTAAACAAAGACTTATCGTTGCTGAGGGTTATTAAATGAGGGCATCCCTCACCAAATTAGAACGTATACATCTGTCCTGTTTTATATTTCAGTTGAAAGGGACTACACACAACCTTCCTTGGTGATTTGCAATGTTGCTCAACATCCATGGGGTCTAATCTGGCAAACCTGTATTGTGCCAACAAGTTCTTATGACAAGGTTTCCATTACATGATCAGGGACTGCAGACAAGCATAAGTTGCTCCCTTAGGGGATTACCTTGAGATACTGCTACTGTTAATGTTTTGCAAAGCATACTTGCATCTAAGCTCCTCCCTGCCAGCCCTATCCGCTGGCTAGTGGCCCATGTTTATGGAAAGGCTATTTTAGTTCCATCATAAACAAGTTTACAAGCTGTTACTGGAGCTCTAAATATAAGTTTCCCATGCTCTCACACCCATCCTGAAACCAAGCATTGTTGTTATGCAACTCGACTTGCTTGACCCATGCATGGCGAGATTTGAAAAGTGATCCCAAACATCTAGGACCCTATCGGGACTGGACTGCTACCCAAACAATCAAGGCTAATCTTGTTGACAACCCCTTCTCACGCCATTCCACCCACCATTAGAAACAGCTACATAATCAACAGCAAGTTCTGGATGCCCCAAGGGTCCAGCACACTAATTCATAGAAGGCTGGGGGCAGAGCTTAGGAGAGTTTGTTTACTCCTTATCTCAACACTGAATAGTTCAGATTTGCAGGAGCCCACATGCTTGGAAGTTTGGCTCTTCAAATGTGCAGTTGGTTAAGGAACTAAAGGTTGCCTGCCCTGTCACTAACTTTGCTGTTCCCCTTGTTTATTTTCTCCAGTTCCTTATTTTGTACCTTGACTAGTTTAATGTAGTAGGAGGCCTCATACATTTGGAGGTAGGTTTGAGTAGCTGCTTGAACATTCTCCCCTCCCATATCCTCTCCACCAAGAGAAAATTCTCAATGAAGTTCACAAATGGTTTGTTTTTTAAAAATTAAGAACGGAACAACACAGAAGTAAAAAAAAAGATGGCCTTTATTTCAGTGACCAAAAATATTAACACCATGAGGATAAAACCAAATAAACTTGTATTTTGCCCTCTTTGAGACAAATGCAGATTACATACAATTAGCATTACAAAGTACCTTGACAGTGACCATTCTACTGCCCATTTTGAAAACCAGTTTCAGAAGACATTCTTACTGTTCTCCTCCCAACCCTAAAGCTTGAATCAAACTAACACTTTTGAAGCACTGAGATGACACAACAGATAAATCCAGCACAACAGCAACTGTTTCATACATTTGAGAAGAGAGTGGAGGAAAAAATCATGAACAAAGGCAAAAACGGTGTCAAGAAATCTCATGAAATGACTTGATATACTGTTTTTTTTGTTTGTTTTTTAGAGACAAGACACTGCAGAACACACCCATTTAAAGAATACAGGTTTCTTTGCCCCCATTCTCCTGATTTGGGTGAAAAATATCCAAGCTGCATATGGAGTGGAAAGAGAAAAATGTTTGTGGATGTAAAACAGTACCCCTCATTACTGTTCAGTGCACAAACAGCTTCAGTCATCTAGGAAAACCGCCAGCGAGCTTTTAAGATGACATCTTTAGGGGAAGAAAAACCACTTGTCTTCCTCTCCCCCACCCTCCAGACATTCAGGGCTCCACCCACACCTTAAAAAACAACAACCACAACAACCACACACACACACAGCCAAGGCAACAGAAGCAGGAAATCCCCTGCAGTCGTGGACCCAGTGTAATGCAAATGCTAGTCATATGAGAGATGTGTCATAACTAGTATGACTGGTTGGGTTTTTTCCCCCTCCCCTCCTTCTGTTCCTGCTCAGCACACACACTTTGGCAAGACTAATCTGGTTCGGAGATCTTCTCTGGCACAAAGAAACAGGCCACTTCATCGTTCTTAATTACTAGGTAAGAAAAAAAGGGATGGCCCTGAGGAAAAGAATACTGGGCAGACAGGAGCGGGACTGACAAAAGCTGCTTTTCTTCGACAATTCTCAGCATGACTCTTTTTAACCCTTCAGGGGAGCTGCCTAACAATCCTTAAGACCTTTCCAGTCCCGTTGAGAGAAAAAAAGGGGGAGGGGGAGAGGAGACAGAAACATAAACTCAGATCTGGCAATTAACTTTAGTTAAGGAACGGCAGAATGAACACGTCATTGTTATCGACTAGCACCAAAAAAAAGTGCACCCAGCACACATCGCGCTTGCTTTCCGCCCGAATCCGGATTCCGAAGGCCCGACGGGCTGCGAGCCTCCCCCGTTTTCCAAGAGTTCGCTCCCCGCCGCCGCCGCCCCCCCAAAGTATCGTGTCCCGCCACGCCGCCGCTGCGTCCAGTCCGGCGCATAGCGCACCGCAGCCGCGTCCCGGGTTTACTGGCCGAGGTGGGGCGTCCTCCTCCGCCGCGTTGCCCGCAGCCTTTTGTCTCGTCGTCTTTCCCAGCCACCAGAGCGTCTCTCGCCTAAACCCGGAGGGGGAGAAAATGGGAGGAGGGAACCCACCAGCGCTCCCCGCCGCCCGCCCCCAGTCCTTCACCAGCCTCCCGCGGCGCGTCTTCCTCGCCGCCCAGGCCCCGCCACCAAGGAGAGGGGGCCGGCGGGCCGGGAGCGGGAGGTGGTGCTCAGCTCCTCCGCCGAGAGAGGGGCTTCAGCAGGTTCCGCTTCTCCGCAGAGAGCGAGGTTTCCAGCTACGAGTCCCTGGCGGGGGCGCTTTAGAAGGCCACCACGGCTCTCACCATTATGCTCAGCACGCCGTCCCCTTGCCTGCAGCTCGCCTTGGGCTCGTCGGCGCCTTTGGCCGGCGGAGGCTGGAGGATTAAGCCGGAGAAGCGGTCCTGGAGGACCCTGGCTAAGCTCGGGAAAGGCCCCTCCTGGCGCTGCGGCTGCCGCTCGCCTTCCTCTTCCACCAGCTTGGCTTTCTTGCTGGGCACCAGACCGGCTTCGGCGGCGCCGATCTTGCCCAGGCTGCTGCTGCGGCGCTTGCGGCTAGGCTTGGCGGCGCCCGCCTGTGGCCCGGGGGCGCCTCGGCTCCACGCCGGCGGAGGCGCGGGCGGCGCGGGCGAGCTGCCGTCGGGCTCCTCCTGGGTCTCCATGGGCTCCGGATCAAGAGTGGCGCAAGGGAGAGCAGGCGGCGGCGCCTCCGATGGCTGTACGGCGGGGAGAGGCCCCGGCTCCGACAGGGCGTGGGGGAAGGGGGTCGCCGGAGGCGCCTCCAGATGTTGAGGGGCGGGCGCCTCGCCCTGCAGGTCCAGCTGCGGCTCCGGGCGCCCGGCAAAGTCCTCGCCGCTCCCTCCGCCCGCGGCCATCTCGTCCTCTTCCTCCAGCTTGGCCGAGAGGTAGAGGTCCCGGGCGTTGCGCATCACCAGCGACAACTGCAGGCTGCGGTGGAGGCGCAGGCCGCCGCGCTGCATCCGCGAGTGGTACATTTTCCACACCGACATGGTCATAATGCGCTGCGCTTCCTTCTGCACTTCCATGATGGCGGAGCCGGCTTCGCCGCGGTTCGGGTCTCTTCGGCTTGTTCGGGGGCTGCGAGGAGCCGGGAGGGAGACCTCTGGCGCTTTCTCCTTAAAAGGCGAAAGTGACGCGTGCCCCCGGGTCTTAATTGGTGTTTGTTTTGCTTTGCTTTGCGAAGCGCAGCCTTCGGAAGAAGCCCTTCTCGTGACGTCCGCCCCGACTGAAGGAGGCCGCGCCCAGCGCGCTTCTTTTTATACCGCCGGTGATCTCAGCGCCTGGGCCTCCTCCGCCCACTTCGAGAGCCGCATCCGGCCTTTCGCAGCGCGCCACTGGCCGCCCTCCCCGGCAAGGGGGAGGGGGAGGCGGAAATGTCAGGCAGTGGGGGAAGGGAGGAGGGAAGAGCAAAGGGCTCGGCCCCCCTCTAGGCAGCCAGGCAGCCAGCGGGGACAGGACTTGAAAGCGGCTGCTCCTGCCGCCGCCGCCAACAAAAGAGGAGCCTGGAACTTGGGCTGCCTGTGATAAGTGCGCTGCACAACTGCCCACGTCCCTCGGGAAGAACTAAGGAGCATGCACGACCTGTGGCTACAGATTCCTTAGCTCATTTACTTAAGTGTAGAGGTGTTGGCTTCACTGGAAGCACGTTTCATGGGTTTGGGTTCGACCGAAATCAATGGGGCTGGTTTCCATGCACGTTTACAGCTGGGAATTAAGAGTGTGATCAGAATGGGGCAATACATGGGCATCATCACTCGGTTTCCCTTCGCTAGAATACAATTGATGAATGGCAAATGAAGGACCATAGGAAAGTTGTGTTACACCTGCCCATTCATGCATGCAGAAGCCATCATGGCCCAAATACAGTATCAAGTTGGTGAACTTACCTTTAAAGCAGGGGTAGGGGACAGGGATGGCTCTGCCCTTTGGAGGATTGTGAGGTGTCAGCCTCAAGCAGCAAGATGCTGAAGGACTAGGAAGCAGGCAGAGCGCAGCCTGTCCTGAAACTACTGACACCAGGTGTGGCGGAAGATTATTGAAGCAAGGTGCAGCTCCAAATCTGGTGGGCTTCTGCACATAGTGGGGAAGAGACCGTCTTCACCACAGGTAGTGGAATGTCTTCAGCCTTCCCTGGTGGGGAAGCCATGGCTCTCTGGATGCCTTTGGACCAGGCTTCCATCAGCCTCAGTCAGCATGGCCAGCGATGATGAAAGTTGCAACCCAACCACCTTGGGAGGACCACAGGCCCTGCTTTAATGGGCTGCATACGTGGAAATAACGAGTGCACAAAATCTCTCTGTGAAATATGGCACCTTCAAGAGGTGCTCAGTGTGTGCAGTTAGGAGTGTTGCAGAAAATGCTCAGTGAATGTCCAATCAGGCCAATACTGTTTATTTCTGCCCGCAGCAGAATCTCTATTTCCATGGTCCTGAAAGCATCAACCAGGCATTGCTGCAAGCTAGAAGACATATATTGGCTCTGTCCTGACTAATCTTAACCAAAAGTTTTTGCATATCTTCATTAGACTTGGAGGAAGGCTATTGATCCACTCCCCATTTCCTATTCACTAAGGCCAGATTCACACATACATGTAGATCTCATGATTGTACCATGCTATACTTTTGATGAATGAAATATCTGACTTCATTGAAAAGCCTTGCATTTGAAATTACATGCCTTGTTAGCTACTGGGTTAGATCTCTGATGGCTCATTCACACACACAAACCATCCATTGCTTGCTTTTATAATCAAGTAATAAAGATTTGCATGTAAAACAGCATTAGGAAATGAGTAAGCGTGGTTTCCCACTTCAACTGTTTTCCATGAGTGACACATGTTCCATCCATGATCGTTTGCAAGGAATCCCTACTGATTTTAACAGAACTTGCTCCTGAGTGCAGAAGACTGTAGCCTTAAATGGCTTACTGCATCTCCCACATTCATAATTAACTAAAAACCTGAATTGGCCATAATGTGCTGTTGATTTTGCCCTTCTAACTTCAGAGTATTCATAAGTGATACCTAAACACTGTATGTGCATTTAATTTGCACTGATTTCAACAGAACATACTTCCAAGTAAGCATGTTCAGAATGAAAGTGCCTTAATTGTGTTAGTTGATGTCCTGGGGGAATTCATGGTAGCAATTCTCTTAATTTTTTGCTTCCTTGGGTTCCCTTTCTGGACTCCCAAAGCATGCCATTCTCGTTCTACTCTATTTGGGCCATACCCAGGGGAAAGGTGAACTCTGACCTATTTTTGCTTTGACAAACCACAATCACCAGACAATTATTTCTTAGATTTGGAAGCTCATTACAGTACGGTTAGGGACTCACATTCTGTAGCAAATCTGTTTTATTTTTATGCAGAGTTACTTCTAATGCAAATACAATCATATATATGTATGAATCATTTTAATTTATTTGCTGAGCTATTCAAAATTGCCCCATTAGCTAAATCAACCACAAAATCTTCAACTGCACTGTGGTTGCAAGTTGATGCTTGCAATCCTCGTATTTCATCAAAAGCCGAGTAAGCCTATGGGACTGTTGAACTCTCAACAGAATATGGTGCGGAAGTCATTGTAAAAGACCTCTGGAACTTCAAAATCAAAGCAGTGCAAAAACTATTTAACAGGCACTGCAGGTGTAAGTAAATCGTGAGCAAGATACACTTTCTGAAAGCTCAAGATCTTGCCCCATCATGCAGATTTAGCTGAAGTTGTCAGATTAGTAAGCACTGACTGCACATAGCTTTCAGCTTTGTCTTCAAGGAGCTGATTCACTACTTGGAATGACATTTTTTTCACATCCGTTTTAACAAGCCCAAAGCATAAAAAAGTCAGCTCCATTCTTCCTGTTCTCTGACAAGAGCAAGTATAGCCCAGATAGGCAGAGGCCAGACTCTGCAGGCAGAATCCCTTCTGCAGCTTGACAACAGAGCCTGACAACTGTAAGACACACATTACACTTGAGGAACCTTTATTGGCATGGCTGGACATGCAAGAATTCTTGTACACTTTGACACATAATGCTTTCATGTACAAGACGTTTTGCACACAAAACATATTAAGAATTCAGGCTTGCTGCTGGGACACTAGCAGTTCCCACCGTTGACCAGCAAGTATCTTGCAGGAGCATGAGTGGGAGAGATAGTGCAGGCAGGTAGTTTTTCCTGCTTTACAGCTCTTATTGCTCAACCGGGGGAAATACTGAGTCCTAGTCATGTGTCCCTTCCTTGGGAACAACAACCACAGTAAGTAGCAGAGTGTGGGGGAGGGAGCTTCTTTCTCTCTTCCTTGTCAGCTTGTGTCACTGGAATTGTTATCTGCTGCCTCCCTCCTCTGCCAGCATTGCTGAAACAAGAAATTGTGCTGTCGCCACCGCGGCTATTCGACTGGGAAGAGGATTCCAAGCTATGGTCAGTGGGTCTTGCTCTCAGTGGGTCTTGCTCTCCTTATTTTCCCTTATACTCACCAGGCTTTGTTACTAGCCGTGCGCGCACACGCTACTGAGAGGTTATGTTGCGCTCTTTTTGCACGCATCACAGTTTACTAAGTCACGTTCACGCGCACGTATCAGAGGCTTTCACTTTAAAAGCAAATCTTTCACTCATTCGTGACAGAATCAGAGAGGCCAGTTCGCATTTTTACCAGATCAACCCGATCACTATGGTGACTGAGCGAGGACTCTCTCTTGGATCCCCGTCGGTTTTCTCTCCAGGGCTTCCTTCGCTCAACAGGCTCCTCCTTCTATTTAGGTCACCCCAGCCTCTCTGCTTACCGCTTCCTTGCATGTATTATTGGACCATGACGACAGGGGCGGAGCCAAGGCTGCGTTTACCAACGTTGTAAAATATGCTTACGCTCGTAGCAGGACTGCTTCCTGTGTCCATAAATGGGCAACCAGACGAGAGACTCCATTGAGTTTCCGGGAGCCTGTCCAAAGAAGGGCTCTGCGCTTGCCCCTCCCCCTTCTGTTTACACACTGCCGCGACGTGATGTAACACGGCACTCTAGAAGTTGCACACAAGCCACTAAAGCCTGCCTTAGCAATGTAACCTAAAGGCACAGACTCCCTCATTAGAAACAAATACTGCTTGTATTAAAAACAAATATTGCCTGGATACGTTTTCCTTTTCGCACATACACGGCCGGAGGTCTGTAAATACTTATCACTGAACTCCCGCGTGATCTAAATGTATTACCTTCTTCTCATAAACTCAACACGCCGTCCGTCCATGCACAACCATCTTTGCTGGGTCGCATGCAACCCGTTTGCACGTGCTCTGCGTTGTTCCCTCCACAGCCTCGCCGCATTGTCTTCACGCGCGCCCAGCTCCCATCCCCACGCGTATTCCAAGCCGCCGCGTTGATCTGCACATGATACACTATGGCTAAGGGTCCTACACACATACATACTTACTTGGGAGTAAATTCCACTGAACTCAGCGGGACTTGCTTCTGAGTAGACATCGGTAGATGTAAAATCGCGATCCTATACACACTCTAATCAAGAAGCAAGTTCCGATGAACGCAGCGGAATTTACTTATTAGTAAAATACGCCTCAGATCGGGCCCCACATCCTAGGGAAGCCAGTTAGCAATGACTATCTTTAGCTGGTCTCGTATTACAAGCTGGCACGTTTTCCCTTACTCTTGCATCACGCCCGAGTCTCCGCAGGCGACCTTTCTTCCCCGCGGACTCTCTTTTCCTGACCGATGCCTGGGCATGCGTTGGTCAGGCTAACTATCACACCGAAATAAATTGCAGAGAGTAATGCGGGAAGTACAAGGAGCGCACTCCATTGTGCCCTGAATCTAAGTACTGTTTCTGGTCCCTTAAACAACCGCCACCAACATGAATTAAAATCTCCACTTCACCCACAGGCAAGCACTGAAACACACACACACACACCCCCAAGCAGGGACTTGCAAACCGCTCTGTAAGCCTCTTTGCAGGCGCCCTTACAGTGTGAATGAGTGGCTAGAGTGTAACCGATAAGGAGCTGCGGTTTGGAACCCACGCCCAGGGAGCGGAGCCCAAGCTCTCAAACGCTCAGTTTGCAGGCGGAAAATGAATGAATCAGGAAGCCGGGCGGGGTGCGACCTGCGCTATTTTAGGGCCGCGTTTCTTAGTAAGAGTGACGCATTTTCCATCTCCAGGAAGCTGAGGCGGAGGAGGGTGGAGGAAAAGAAAGAAAGGAGGCCAAGAAAGAAACGCGAGGCTGCTAGAAGCTCCAGGGGAGATTCCTGATTGCTCTCGCCAAGCGCTCTCCTCCCTTCCCCCGGCTCCTCCCCAGG